CAAGAACAAAAAAACAAAGAATAATCTAAAATATTATTAATGTTATGCATAAAATACAAACTAACGATTAAAATTATCAAATACCTAGTTTATAGAAATCGTTTGACTATGAGCTTTTGTGTTAATTAACATTAAATCTAATACACCCTATGCCTTTTCATTATAAATGTAATCCTAAAATAATTACAATTTAAATCCCACCACAACGAGCTCGTTTTATGAGATACAAGCAGATTATTATAGTAAGTTTAAATAAGATTATAAGATCTGATCAATAATACGTGTGTCACATAACGAATTTGATACTTTGTTCCATTTAATAAATAAAGGCCTCAAGCGTTCCGCAGTGGTATGATGGTAATTTTCTTGGTTCCGTATAGAACGTATAATGTTTTTTTTTTTAATTCAAATGAGCATATTACTAGCACTTTTGAATTGTTTCTCTACCACTTTAGGTAACAAGAAGAATGAGCGAAAGAAACTTACCAGATCCAGTTCAGAAATAGTGACATTTAAAATAGTACATATTACAATAATAATAAAAACAATCAATGTCCGTATGACATAGCAGATGTATAGGTACATATAATTAATCAGTGTAGAACAAAGCAAAGGCTATTAATTCTAAGCATTGCGTCCTTGACAGTTAAAATAATAACCAACTTTATAGTAGCCTATAATGTTAAGTTGTTCTTTACATGACTTTTTAAATTTCGAAGGAATAGTCTACGTATTCACCAGATCCAATCCGATAAATAATATTATATCTATTGTTCATCTTAGAGGTGATGGCACAAAAACATCTATTTTATGGTGATGGTCTGTGCGACTTCATAATAAAGTGTAGATGTGCTAAAATATATATTTCCTAAATATTTAAATGCTAATATGAGTAGATTTTAAAATGCAAGTTGATATTAACCAATGGAATTCTAACTTGCTTGTTCACGTTTACCTGAACGTTATTTTGATATGAAATTACTGAAGTAAGGTACGTGTTCCAACAAATGTCACCATTCAGACACAATTCAATTTCTATATTTATACAGAAAATATTTGTTGTCAGTGCACAAAATTTAATATTGTGTTCCTTACGATGTTTTTTATCTTTCACGTTGTTTTTTCTCTATCTTTTAAATTAGTAACATTGAAGATAAAATAAGATATCTATGGGCATGTGCACAGGGATGCATGACCGTTTTTCATCAATATACATATATTTGTTAACTACTATTCAAATAAAAACGAAAATATCATAATAAAAATTAAATTATCAATTTCAATATTATATGTGAAATTTAAAAAAATAAATCGTTGGTACGTTATAACAGGGGTTAAAGTATGAAATTGCCGATTTGTATTGAAAATCAAAATTGTTTATTTTTTATTTTTAACAAATTTATTTAATCAAAATAGTTACCATTATTATCTAATAGGAAAATCATTTATGCCTTTGCGATAGAACTCTGAGGATCAAACTGCACAAACTGTGTGAAGTACAAAATGGTACTATCTCCTGAGAAGAAAACTTCTTGTCACGTAGATAATTGTCAAAATCATGAAAAAAATGGTAGACGGTTGGAGCAAGGTCTGGCGAATACGGAGTGTGACGAATGGTTTCTAACTGCAGTTCCTGAAGGGTCAAAACAGTTTCTCGTGCTGTATGAGGTCTCGCGTTGTCATGGAGCAATAATGGTGAAGATTGATTCATGAGTCGGGGTTGTTTTACAGTTAGGTTTGTCAACATTGTTCGGAGTTCGATACAATAGACATCTGTCGTTATTGCTTGACCAGATCGGAGAAAACTATCAATATTGTGGATAAGGTAACGTTAAACCATGCCGCTAATTCCTGGGTAGTTTGAGTAGGATCGGCTTTTCATCGATATTCACCTGCGTGGGCGGTCGTCCTCGTGGCTCGTTCTTCAAGTCAAAGTCTCCATCACGAAAGCGTTTAAACCAAAATCGCACGGTACGTTCATTAGCAGACCACTCTCCAAACGCAAAATTGATATTGTAGGTTGTTACTTCCGCGTCGGAACTCATATACAAAAATCACTCGAATTTTCTCAGTAACCATCTTTTTTTGTCCAAGTTGAATAAAGAAAAACAATTTAAAGTCGATATTCAAATGTTTTACATTTTTTAAAAGAAGAACATCATCATCAAGAAAATAAATTGATGACTGTATGTTTGCCTCTCGCTTTGATGTCAATAGACGTTCGTATTGAAATAATTTTCGAATACACATAAACTATAAACTCGGCTTATTACTGCACCCTCTTACGTCGCTTGCGCGAAACAATCAAAGAGAAAAGGCCTGGATTATTTAGCAAGAAAGTGTTGTTCCATCGGAATAATGCACGGGTTCACACGTCTATCGAATCTATAGCTCAAATTCGCGATTGTGTCTTTGAATTACTGCCCCATCCCGCCTATTCCCCTAATTCGGCACTTCAGACTTTCATTTATTCCCAAACCTAAAAAAACACTTTGGACGTCAAAAATTTTCATCAAATGAGGAGGTCGAAGCTGCGGTGGGTGACTTTTTTGGAGACCTAGAGGAAACTTTTTTTATGACTGGCATACAGGCGTTGAAAAACAGATGGAAGAAGTACATAGAGTTAAGTGGAGTTTACGTGGAAAAATAAAATTGTTGTTATTATTTGCTTATATTTTATATTGTTTTCTTGCTGAGGCCGCGAACTTTTCAATCCACCCTCGTATATCAAATTAATCATGAGATTGATTATTTAAAAAAAAAACAATATTAATGTGCCATATGTGATAATGCCATATTAACGCCGCAAAAATTTTTTACTTAAAAAATCAGTAAGAAACTCAGCAAGTGTTACTTTTTCTCTTTCGTACAGAGATGTTTTATTACAAAAGTCGAGTGCGATTTCGAAAATCAAATAAATCACATTCGTTGTATGGGAGTCTCTGAACCATTTATTTTATTCTGTTTTAAGTATTTCATGTTATAAACGCAAAAGAAATATATCATCTGTAAAAATTTCAACTGATTGACTAGCTATTACAGTTCACGGGTTCACAGACAGCGGAGTCTTAGTAATAACAATAGGGTCCCGTTTTTATCCTTCGAGTACGGAATCTTAAAAATAACTTCATTGAATTATAAAGAGATATTATTTTTCTTAATCAATTAATGCCGTGTCATATAAATTCATTGATAATAAAAACTTAGACTAACTCATCACAGTTACACTGTTTGCCGTATAAAAGTTTATATGCGTATGTATACAAATAAAGCCGTCCTTAGGTAAGAACGTGACATCGCGTAATCCCTTCAAGATCTGTAGTTAACGACGTAACACGCGGAGATATATAATTTTAATTGCAACCTCCATAAAATAAACGGCACAGAGATCCAAGTTAGTCTTGGTATCGATGTGTGTAGTCTATTTGCATATATATATTAGACACAATATTTGCCTGCTAAAAAAACATGGTATCGTTTATATGAAAAAAAAAAGAATTGCAAGTGTAATAATACATCACCATGTTTAAAAATCTTTGTATAATTTTAAGTATAAGGAAAATTATTAAAAAGTACTAATACGAGTAATTTGCATGTCTCATTAAAAAGTCTGCCTTCCATAAATAAACCATAAAAGTATACAGTAAAATCTTACTAATCTATTAAAATGTTCAGATTCCTAATTTATACACGGTTAAATTGGAACTACATCTAAAATTGGAAGATTTGTATCAGAATATATAATACATATATGACGTATGTGCAGTACACACTTCAAAAAGTTCATAAGCTGAAATCATCTCTAAACATAAAAATATATATCTTTCTGTGGGAGCAGCTATTGTACCTTGTCATAGATTTAGGAATGCTTAATAAACGCACATAGCATCAATCATAATATAAGTAGCTACCTAGATTTAAACCAACATAACTCAGAGCAATATCTTTAAACATTTTTTTTATGTAAGATTCTTTTACCGTTGCTATGCGTTTGCCATTTTGGTAAATGGCAAATGTGCATCATTATGTAATACCCTCTTCGTCACTTAAAATTTAGGCTTCTGGTTTACTCAAAAACTAAGCTATGAGGGGTGAAAATTGCCCAAATATATTTGAGTAATAATTGTACGACCATGCTCTTTTGTAACTTTTTTGCTCATCTTGGTGGGGACACTTCCGTGCCCCTAGATTTATAAAAGTTGATTATCTGTGTTAAATAAAACCGGTATGAAGTAATAACGAGTAGTACAACCTTATGAAGTTACTTTTTAAAGCAAACCAATTACAGTAGGTAATAGAAGCAGGATCGTTGCTAACACGAATATTGCTGTTTTATTTTAATACTAGCAAGTTTTGCATTGCATTTAAGATTCACGGTAAAGTTCGAAGTTCTTTAATAGAATGGAATTTCTTTGATAACTTTTAAACGTTTGGTAATAAAGGATATTTCTAGTTTTAATGTAATCAAAATTTTTGCACTCCTATTTTATAGGGATATGGAAAATTATCGTTATGGCTTACGTGTAATTAATTTACAATAGTTTTTGACGTGCAATACGCTAGGTATCTCTCTCATTGACAGTCGATGCCGTTTTGGTTTTTATTTTATTTTGACGTTAAACTTATCTTCGGTATTTCGGGTTAATACCTCAGACTATAAACATCTGTCTACTGCCCACTTTTTCTCGAAGCACTTTGTCTTTTTTTGGAATCCTCATAACTGGTTTAGATTGTACCAGATTATCCGAATTATCGGGATATCAATAATGTATATAAAATTTTAATTTCATAAGCTCTTGCTATACTTTAGATTTTATTTAAAAATATCCGATTTTGTCACTAACTCGCTCACTCACAAAGGCCAAGCCATATGTTTTGTAAAGTTAAGGCTTGTAGAGTTAGAACATGTAAAGTAAGAAGCTTGGGTCTACATACGATCTGAAAAGTTTTTGACGCTGCGAGCCATATGTTGTCTTGGCAACATATTACATGTGTGTATTTACATTGAGTAGATATTAAAGAGATTTAAATAAAATATGTTCGTATACTTAAAATATACATCCTTACTTTATTCCCACGATTAAAAATATTTTATATCTGACAATACTTTACTAAACATAAAAACACTCAGTCAGTTTTTTTACATAGTAAAATAATGATAAGTTTACATCTATTGTTTTACAAAACAAACAACAAACATTACGATTAAGTTCTTATATTAATCTAAGTGTGGAATACTTAATTAACTCTTATTTAACAACAATAAAGCCAGGCACATTCTCATCGTTCTAAAATAACTGCTATATGTATGGATCTCTTAGTGGCTAACAGATATATATAAATATTGTAACATAATTGACACAACCATTGATACACCATAAATAATAATAAAATTAAAATTCAATTCAATTCCACTATAAAACTATATGCATGAGCTATTTTCAAAAGTGCATTTCGAAACAATATTATTTATTCAGTCTAGTCAGTCAGTCTAGTCAGTCAGTCAGTAAATTAGTAATTCTATATTTCAAATACAGAATTCACGATCTTATTTTATGCAGATTTTAAGTCATAAAGAATTTAAAAATAGAACTTTTCAGTTGATGAAATTGTTGGGCCTTATTGGCCACGTTTGTGGGCGTCTTCTTAAGGCGTCGTAATATTGCCAGTTTGTGTACCAAAAAGGTCTATTGTCTATGGGCAAACTGTCTATCCTGTTTATTAAGTTTACATTTCCTTTGGTTTCTATAGGAACCGGTGCGTCCTCACCAAATCTGTTGGATAGCTGAGAGTATGTATCCGTTGCCATAACCGGATAGCCGATAGGTCGGACACCAGCGTAAAATGGCCTCTGGGCCATAGAGATTGTGATGGCTGCGAGTATCACCACGAATACAGCTAAACGTGCCATTTCCTAAAAACAAAATAAAAATATAATCATTAAACCGTGTACAATAAATATTAATACCGCTGCGTACTCCAAACAGGTCTATCAATTAATTTTTCTGTCTGTCTATCTGCTGTATGAATGAGGTTTCGTTAATAATCCCGGGATTCTTTCAGTAACTAGTGAACTAAATACTCGAAGCGAAAACTAGTGAAGTGAACTATCGGGATGATCGAATAGTGTTGGGAAGCGAAAATAATGAAGTGGATTGTGAAGTCGAAGAAGTGTGGAATTTGTTATTAAATTCTTTTTGTAATTTGTTTATTTAAATAAAGTTAAATTGTGAATTTAATTGGCGTTAATTTTTACCCCGAACCCTAAGTCGTAACAAAACAACTGAATTGTTGAAACGGCGGAAAAAGAAAACAGCTTTAAGCCGATTTAATTTATTCTTAGCAAATTCCATTAGCAAAGTGTTATTGTTTTCTAACAATACAAAATCATATGACACACTTTGAACCAACAAAGCTCTAAACACAAAGGAATTGATCAGAGCTTTGTGTAACTTAACATGCTAAAGTCGCGTTTGGCAAAATAATGTTTGCGATTCATTAATCATTACACACCACTGATCTTAATGCCTCAAATGGTAAAAGGTTGTCGGCCAATTGCCCACATTAGGATAAATTAATGCTCATCCGGACAAGCTCGATTTGTACTACCTTGAGTACAGTGGCAAGTTAACTCTGCAAAAAGGTAAGTTGACATTCGAAGATGACTAGCTAAAACCTTCTTATTCTGAGACAAAGAAGGTACCATGATACCTGAACCAGAAACAAATATAAAAAGTGCATTTTTTTACACTGACTCGCACAATTTATTTATTAAGAGTAAATGAGACATTAGTCTGCTTTTGCGAGCAACTAACGTAATCTATAATATTAGTTGTAGTACGACATTACATCCTCAAAAATTATGTTGTCTTTACTGTATACTCCATTCTTCAAACTAGGCAATGCACATAATATTCGGAGTTGAAATATAAAAGATTAGCAGGCAATACATCACCCATGACAGACAGCGTCATCTTTTCGTACGTCATTCGTTTTTCGTGTGCCGGCCGGCATCACTGATTTGTTTACAATGTTATTTTATGGAAAAAGTGAAAGTTCACTACTTTACTACAATATCACAGCTTTTACAGCTTACTTAATACGAAAATATAAACATAAATGTGTGTCACTAATAAAATTATAACAAAAAATACATACAACCCTTTTCAGTTTTGAAGGCAGTTAAAAACCAATATATAGTATCTTCAAGGAAGTTATTTTAATAATACGTTTAATAGTAATTATATCAAAAATCTAATTTTTATTGTTGTTTTTGTAAATCTATAGAAATTTCATTAAAATCAATTAGTACTCCGAACTTACTATAATAATTTATAAAAATGTATGTTCGTTTCGGTATCTTTTTTCCATATATTATTCTTAATGCTGTATTCAAGTTTTAAAATTTGCATTTTAAAAATATTACCTTGTTGTTCGCTAATACACTTCAAAACAAGATGCGTGACTTCGTCGGTGGTGCACTAAGGACACAGTGTATATTGGAACTTTAGCACTACCATATAAATATAAACTGACCCGACATGCTTATCAGAACAGTGTAGACGTACGAACTATCAGATCGGGCACATCAAAAATATAATTTTTACTTTTCAATAAAAATATTATCAAATTAAATATAATTCATTTACAATTCGTAGCCGAGTGGTTCGCTCGCCGGTTTCAAGGTGTCGCCATCTCTGAGGTCCCGGAGTCAATCCCCGGTCGGGTCAATGTACAAAATGAACTTTTCTATATTGTGTCGGGTTTGGGTGTTGTGTTACTTACGTTGTCTCAAATACTCCATAATACGGGGGCTTTGACTACTCATCTTGGAATCTGAACAATGTATGTGATATTGTGTAATTCATATATTCAGATTATTTGGCTTTTTTTTTTAGAAAATATTGATCCGAATATGAAAGTTATTTTACGAGAAGTTACATCATACGCGGGTGATATAGGATATAACTCATCTTTTACAAACTATTCTTCTTTGAAAGAAATTTATAAACTTCCTAATTAGCGAAGCGATTTCAAACCAGATAAAGTTATTGTCATTTTACAAATTTTTCACCATTAAGAATAATTGAAGATGGAATTTTAGTATTCTATATTCCATATTTAGTTACTTTCCTCTTCTTCTGTATATTACAATAATTAATAATAATATTCATAAATTTTATTTATATAATATTACTTCATGTCTAGATATTTGTAAGCTTGCGGAAAAACCCAGTATACACGATATGAAAAAAATAATGACAAATTGGATATAGAATATAATTCTCGTGAAATTGTTATGTCCTTCTATCGGCGAATCGACCATTGAGACATGACCTTCGTCCAGTATAGTTTATTACTTAACTAAGGATCGTATATTTTTGTTGACTACATTGTAGAAATAAATGATTTATGAGCATAGAGAGAGAAATGACGTATCTTCTTAGTAACAGTAAAATCGTAGTACTTTGTTTATTAAAGTTTTTAGCATATTTGAACTTACTGTATCAGTAATATTAGTAAAATAAATGAAAACTTGCTAATAAAAGGCATACGGCCGCAAAATACATTATACACATGGCCGGTTTAACCACACAGCAAATGCTACGGGCTCTACTTGGTTGGAGGCCATGCGCAATTGGGAGCTTTGCTATGATTTGAATAATAAATTAATTGCAAAGTTAATGTTAAAAATGCAGGAATAAAATAAGCTACGCTAAGCTACGTATGAGTAAAAATAAACTATCAAATAAAACTCAAGTCACAGATTACTTGTGAAACATAACACAACACAACTAACCTGTGTCTTGAGTTTTATTTGTCAGTTTATGTTTAGTTTTATTATCGGTAGAAGAAGGGGTGGGGAGTATAAAAAATTTGCTACAGGCCCCGCTCTGACTTAATTCGGCTCTGATAATAAGTAGATTATTATCACTTTTTTTTATTTTACTTTGACGATTTTCGATATGTCAAGGCGTAGTCATCTCTGAGCTTCCGAGTTCGATTCCCGGTCTGGAGCATGTATAAAATCAAATTCTCTATAGAGTCTCTGTGTTCTATGGCACCTTCCTTGTTTCGGATTTTTATAATTCAAGTCATAAATCTCTTTAATTTGGGATTTGATCAATGTATGTTGCCTAATATTTATTAGGTAATATATTTAGTTAATTACTTGACCACTGACGAGATTTCATCCTATTGAAAACCAGGCGGCGGAGTATGTGAAAAGCATTTAAAAAACCGATCAAGTGCGATCTGTCTTCGGGCACCGCTCGAGGCCGCATAAAAAAAATTAAACAATTGAGTAATGCGCGTGAAAATATAACAAAACAGTTTTCATTATGATTTATAATTATTAAGAACGTATACAGATGTATCTGAGATTCTCATAATAAGCCCTTTCAATTGTTATGTGGTACAAGATAGTCTGAGAACGCTTGTTTTAATTTTCTAATTTACTCCCCAACTCCCATTGCCTTTATTCTTACAATTTATTTTTACAGAACTATATTCGGGTCAGCAGCTTACGTATATGTACCTAGTTTTACCTTAATAAGACTGTAAGACAACCAAGTGATCCTTTAAAGTTAAAGTGCAGAATCCTAGAGGAACAACATGACTAGGAGTCAGATGGGTCAGTAGCTGTCTCAGCAATCTTGGATTGCGCTAGTTTTATATGACTTTCGCAGAAGCGTATCATCAAATGGGCGCCCAGAAATTTACTGTCTCAAACTCTTTTTTATTTATTTTGGCTTTGCGTCTCTCATACGTGTTGGTTGAAGTGCTAGTCGGATTCGCGGACGAAGGGTTCCGTACCATTATCCATGAAAATCTAAAAAATCAAGTTTGTTGTTTTCTATGGAGTTTTTTGAAACTTTCCAGTAAAATACAACTGGTCAACCATTACCCGTGAACTTGTAAAGCCTTCTTATGTGTGATAGTTTCCCCGCTGAAAGCATTCTTGTCACCCTTTTACTTGAAATTAACACCATACATTAAATAGAAAGTATATTGATATAGTTGCTTCAGAAAGCATGTTAAGCCGTTGGTCCCGGCTGCATTTGCAGTCGTCATTACCCTCCTATCTGCATTGGGCCAGTGTGGAGGGTCATGGCCCATCCTCCTTAACCATCCATAAGGAAGGCCTGAACCCCTGCAGCGGGGACGTAAAAGGGCTGATGATAATGATGGAGGATTATGGCCCAATCTCAATAACGATTCACGTGGAAGATCTGCGCCGATGACAGGGCCGATGTAAAATATAAATAATCATAACGGATCCATGCACCCAAAATACGGAAAACCCCATGCTCTATACAAATGTGGGAGTGTCTGATGATGTGTAATAATGGAACCAAAAAGGTTACTAACTATTTGTTGAGTCAGACTTGTTGGTAAAGGTCATTAGACGACTGTGTAGGTAATACCTATTTAATTATTTCTAATAAGATGAGGTATTTACTGAAATAAATATTTTTTTATATCAAACACAACCCATTTTAAAAATTATAGGATTTTAGAGTCGTCTTTTCCTTAATCTAGTCTAGTTTTATATTCCTTAATGTTACACTATCGGGACGGTGTGATTTCTAATCACCTGATACTGACCCAGACTTTGGGTAGCCAGGGTGACCAAAAGTGGTAGAGAACGGCTCTTGCATAATAGGGAAGGAAAGTAATAAGACACAAAACTATTAGTTGCTAAAATATATTGTGCCTATACCAAACTTATGATTACTATTACGGGAATCCTTATTTAAAATTAATTAATTTTCACGGTAAACAAATATGAACTATATATGATTAAACTGTCGTCATATGTTGGCAGTCTAAACGAATAATAATCTCTCATGAGGCTCCACCTTAATTTGTCATGTTTGATAAGAAGTTACCGATAAGCGGTCTCACCACATATTTCGTATTAAAATATAAACACAAATTATTTTATATTAACTATGTAAGTAGTTAGTCAACCTATGAGTCATCATTGTTGATATGTTTTGAAGTATTATATTATTTGTTATTATTAGTTGAACAGCTTAATTTCGTAACAAATCATTTTCAATCAAAATGTTAGGTATCTGTTTAAATATAACTACATAGCACTCACATGCACAACTAACGCTAAAATTTCTAATTTAGAAGATCTTGTGTAAGCATCATTACTATACGATAGATAAATTATTATATCACTACCATTATATGTAAACCAAAAATAGCAACAATTTTTATTTTTAAATTCAGATTGTTTCAGTGATAAATTTATTCACCATATGATTTTTTTTAATCATAACTCTTTTATAATAATAAGTGCCTCTTTGTAAACAGTAACCGCGCATAATCATTATATTAATATAAAAATACTAAATTGAAATTGTGTTTGAGGTGGTTTTTGTAACACCACTTTATTTTTTCCCATCCGGAAAGAAAACATCGTCACTTGAAGTGCTTTTATCATCACAGACGTTCATTGCTTCCCAGTAAGAAGGTGGCGACTCCTGCTCAGTGATATTTTTCTCAGATTCTGATTTTGTATCTATGATAGTCTTGCCAACTTGTATCGGAATATCAAGCTGCATATTTTTATGAGGTACAGGAACACACACAGTCATTGTTACCACATACTCTCTAGATACTAATTTGGAATCGTCAATACAGTACAAATCAGACGGTATTTCAATTTCAAGAGTAGATTCTGAAGTTTCGCCAATTTTTACCGCGGTCGTCTTGGAGTCTGTATTCTGGATATTCACAAGTTTCTTTATATGTGATTTTTCGCTGTAATAAAATTTGTAAATACTGACTAATTTTGTTTCAATGGCTTCAATAGTTTTATTGGTGTTGTTTTGTAGTTCATAGGCAATTTCGACTGTGGCACCAGGTTCAAGAACAGAACATTTTATACAAGCTTTCAAATGTAAAATGCCTTTGTTTGTTTTGAAGGGCTGGAAGAATTGTTTCCTTTCCCCATATATAACGGGTTCCATAGATAATTTTGGTGTTAATACAGGAACAACTTTTATTTCCTTTTCGAATTTCTTATCAAATTTAAGGAAGCCTGAAATCTCAAATTTTATTTTAATATAGTAAGCAATTACACACTTTACTTGTTCACTCCCGTGGTTTTGATATTTTAGAGAACCAGGTATATTTTCTGGTAATATGAAATTAAATGGTGTAACAAAGTCCCCACTTGAATATTGCTTTCCTCCGATGTCATCAAGAACTACAGTTTCATAGGAGACATACTTTTCTGACTTTGTATAAGTAGTTGTAACCTGATTGCTGCCTGCTCCGGTAGTTTTAGTAATCCGTAAATTTCCACGTCCTTTTAATGATACAAGTATTTTTTTCACAACAGTGTTTTTATCAAAAGCATATTTAATAGATCCACTGACAACACTTCCAGGAGTAAACTCATTGTTCGGAGATTCCACAATACCGATTTTGCAAAAAATACCCATTTCCTAATAACAAAGTGTATATGTATTTTTGATAAGAGATGATTATTACAGATCGATTCACATGTACTATTCAAGGGAAATTACGCAAAGGAATGAAATTTATCGTTCGCATTTTATCTTATCTAAAATGATAAATAGTTTATTTAGTCACATTATAGATCCAGTGAGTAAAAATAAGTACCTAGATTTATGTTAGTGAAATCATTTGTCAGTAGACTGGCATATAAATTACTTTTAGGTAATACGAAATAAAAAAATTACAATAACATTCAATCCTTTATTTTTGATTAAAATAATGTTACAACAAGAACATAATTCAACAAACAAAGCAATATTTTATAATTTTATCGAAATGTTATGGTTCTTAAATCAAACCTTCTTTCCATCACAAACATTCATTACTTCCCAGTATTAAGGTGGTGAAGATTCAGGATCTGAAATGAAATTACCATATTTTTAGGGTGATGGAAGTTGTACTGTTATAAGCACTCCGTACTGTTTGGACACTAATTCAGAATCATATATGTAACACAAATTAGATGGCACATTTATTTCGATTTGAAATTCTATTTCGTCGCCTTTTTCTATAGCACCAGTTTTGGAGTCGGCGTTTATGATATCTTCAGTTCTTTTCTTTATATCTTTCCTTTCAGATAAAATTTGTAAATGGCCACTAATTTCGATTCCATTGCTTTTATATTTTTTTTTATTAGTATCATTAATGTATTCATAAGAGATCTTTATTTTATCAATCTTTCAAATTTATTACGCTCTTGTTTGTGTTGAAAAGTTGGAATATTTATCATGGGTTCAATTGATCATTTTGTTGTTAGAATAGGTATAACTATTATTTCCTTTTTGATTTTTTATTAAACTTAAGAAAACATAATTTACTTAATTTCACAGATGCATTAATTTTTCGCATACTTTTCGTATTTTAAAGGTCTACGAATGCTTTTTGTAATGTTAAATTCCAAATTGATTTTAACATAATCGTTTAAAAGTGTATTTTGAAAACCTTCCGACTCCTCATAAATTAACCTGTCGTCGAAAATCTAACTTCAATTATAATTGTATTCAACAGTTCCTATCGATATTGTATTTAATAGTTCCACTAACTACACTTCCCGGGATAAAGTCATTCTTTTGAGGTTGCACTACCAAAATTTTACATAATATGCCCATTCTTTAAAGTTGTGCTGAACTTTTATATATCAACTTTACGTTCTCCTAAAAGTCTATCCGTAATTAAAAGACTTTTAGCAGTATGCAGTTTAAATAACGCATACAATTATTCCTATAAGTATGAGTACTAATCTTATCTTAGATGACAAATTCTTCTGCTTTATCGATAATACAACATATTTCAGCACAGCCTTGTCATATATAAAAAGTACACTCTAATCCATTACAATAATGAAAAAATATATAAAAATATGTTTTAATGAAAAAAGTAAAGAAAATATTTTGACATTGTAAATATGTAAAAAAAAAACGAGAAAATGACTATAGGCACCTAACCTAAGTGAAATGTCAACAATCATAATATAAGCTAGTAAAACACAGGCAATATCAAAAATAAAATTAATATATAATTGTAAATTATCTTGGTAAAAATCATAAATCATTCGTTATTTGTTATATAAATAAATAAATTTTAGTAGCTACGTCCGAGGTTGGTATCTGAGATTATCTTCTTGAATTTGTAAAAAATATATTAGCCAATCATGATTATTGCTTCTCTCAGTTTCTTTTCTAATCTGTTTATCGTCGCTAAATCTGTTTAAAAGTTGCTCCGTTCAAAATGTGGATATCCAAAGGACCTTGTACTGGCATAAAATCAACGTTGACATTGTATTAGTCTAGCAAAAACTAGTATTACAACTACAATGTATTTTAACGACATAGCTTCTATAAACAAGAACATATTAGTGATTTTGTATGATACCTAAATAATAAAACTGACTCATTAAAAACAGTGTAAATCTTTAGCTTTAATTATTTGTACACATCATTTTGCACTACATTATTATATTCTTGCAATTATATTATTTATCATATTACAAATTGATAAAATTAAAACCCATTTTGTAGTCAATAATTAATATTACACAATTTTGCGTCATCTATAGCTGTGATTATTATCACGATATAATTTCGTTTTCTCTTTATCGCTAAACGTAAAACAGAAAATTCGATAAATTAGTATATCACATTAATATATACACCAATTTATCGGATTTATTTCCGCTTTAATTGATTAGTCAATTACTATTAGTAAATAAGTGACGCAATTAGCTACTAAATAAAGGAAGATCATTAAAACTTTTTCAACAGAGAGTCAATCACTAATGTCCACTATGCGAATATTTTAGAATAATTGAAAATGGGACTAGAATCTCGTATTAATAGATAAGTGTTTAAAAAAATGCCGTGATGTTTGCGATTGATTCATATTTAAATATTGCGTTTTAAATTTTATGATGAAATATTCCAAATATTATCTTTTAAATATGTTAATCTTGTATTTGCTCGTGTCTATTTTTGTGTTCTAGATATTTGTTGGTGATTGTAGTAATTTGTCAACTGTCTTGTGTTTGGTATGTACGTGGTATCATCGCTAGTCTTAGCTGAATACCAGTGTAATGCAGCGCAGGCTCTGCTTCCTGCTTGTACTGAGCTGAGATCAGCTTTGACAACGTAGGGCATGGCACAGAATGTTTGGTTTCTTCTTTTACAGAACTCTTACAGGTTACAGAAGGTATTGGGTTCTTTCATGGGTCAATGTATACAATACTTTAATAAGATCCCCAGTGATGTATTAGATTTGCCAATAAATCATTTTAAAAGTCATATTAAAAGTTGTCTACAAAGTAAAGGGTATTACGAGGGTCAAACTGAAAGTTCTTAGAACTGGCCACTTATAAACAATATAATAAAAAAATAATTCTAAAATTTGAAAATATAACTCTTTGCCAATATTACTGAGTATATATTTCATTCATTTGTCATTTGTTTTACGATTTGGCGGCAAATTGAAAATTGTCTGTGTCACGTCATCATGAATTTAACACGAGAAAATTTTCGTGCAATGATTTTTTATGACTTTCGATGTCATTTAAGTCAACAAGAAAGTTATGATAGACTACGATTGGCCTTTCACGATGAAGCCCCATCTCGTGCGACTGTTTACAACTGATTTAATGAGTTTAAACGTGGTCGCACTAATCTCACTGATGATTTACGTGAGGGACGGCCTTCTACGGCGACGACTGAAGATAACATCTGTGTTGTGCGGCGTATGATAGAGACTGACAAAAGAGTGACCTATCAACAGATTCGGACAAGCTTAGGCATCGGTATGAGTCAAGTGCACAAAATCCTCCACGAACATTTAGCGGTCAGGAAGCTTTGCGCCCGGTGGATACCTCATAATTTGACTGAGGCTCAAAAACTCCATCGTGTGGATTGGTGTCGTAAAATGATTGAAAGATTTAACGGAGGTGACTCAAATGCTGTGTTCGACATACTAACAGGTGACGAAAGCTGGATTTACTGTTATGATCCTAAAACCAAAAGACAATCTGCTCAGTGGGTGTTTCCTTTCGAGGAGTTGCCAACTAAAGTGAAGAGAGATCGAAGTGCGGGAAAAAAAATGGTGGCCTCGTTCTTTGGAAGGATAGGTTTTGCAACAATTGTGTTAGAGGATCAAAAAACAGTTTCTGCAGAATGGTACACTACCAATTGTTTGCCACTTGTCTTGGAAAAAGTTCGAGAGAAACGACCTCGCAGTAGGATCCTCCTTCACCACGACAACGCCTCGTCGCACACCGCCAAGCGAACGATCGACTATTTGGCGACATCAAACGTTGAATTACTGGGTCACCCGCCGTATAGCCCCGACCTCGCGCCTTGTGATTTTTATTTATTTCCAAAAATTAAAGAAAAACTTATAGGAAAGCGGTTTATGAATGCTGAAGAAGCGGTGGCTGCGTATCGCGATGCCATTGAAGAGACCCCTAAGGACGAGTGGGCAAAGTGCTTTTCCCAGTGGTTCCATCGCATGCAGCGGTGTATTGACGTGAATGGACAATATTTTGAAAAGATATAATAAAACTAATAACTGGCTAATGTAATCAGTTTTTGATTTTCTAAGAACTTTCAGTTTGACCCTCGTATACCGTTAAGGAATATCTAAATGACAAAAAGGCATGGTGTTAGATATTTTAACTTTATTGTATTTACTTTCTAATATTGTAATGGAAAGTGACTTCATATTCTAATGAAGTCACTTTTCAATAAGACTTCTCTGTGTGAAATAAAACAGGGAGAAAAAAAAAACAGCCCTTGCTGAGTTTCTTGCCGGTTCTTCTCAGTACAAGGTCTCCCGCCGTAGTTTTGCGAACCGATGGCGTAGTTTTCGACTTTCACAAGTGCTCTGTAAAAGCCTAAACTGAATAAATAAATTTTGATTTGATTTGATTTCTTTTTTTTTTTCATGATATCGTAATTATATATCGTGTATGTGATGTATGTTGTCACAATAAATGGATTCTATTCTACCGATAAAATTCTTCTTGAGAGAGTCCGTAGTATGCGTAAAAGCCCATACACGTCACTAAATGATGCAATTTGTAAACGCATGATGATAATGAATCACGCCGACCAGTAACATTTATGCCTTTAGTTAATTTTAATCACCTTATTAAAAACGGGAAGATTTAGTCAAAACAGTGAGGTCAAGCTTTGCTCCTTTTTTATCGATAATAATATGGCGAATTCGTTTTTGTTAAACTTTGAGGTAGGTATGTACTGAATTTCGTTAATACTAAAGTAGCCCAAAATGTTCATCTTATTTAACCTAACGGGTTACAAAGACATAATTTGCTCATTATCAATAGGTACTTGATAAAACATTTTTCAAAATAATAAGACCGATTTCAAATTTTAAAAAAGTCGAAAAAATATTTATCTTAACAGCGGTTAAATTTTTTAGGAAACATTGAAGTCAAGCTGAGCTCGACTCCAATGTTACGATTAACGCTTTTAAGATAAGTATTTTTTCGACATTTTAAAATTAGAACTCAGTTCTATTTTTGATAAATGTTTTAAGTCATTATTTTTAGTGATACTTATAAAGGTACTTTAAATAAATATCTTGTTTAGGTATCACTAACATATTAAGTAACTTCATAAAAGTAAGTTCTGAAGCTTTCACTTATTTGAACTACGCAACCACGAAGAAATCGCTCAACATACCTACTTGCATAAAAAGTATACATACCCGTTAAAAATAAAATTCCTCGTCGTGGATTTTGAATAATGGAGAGTAGTCTCTCTTTTTTTTCGCTGATATAAACATGTAATCGAAATATTTGGGTGATGTCTGATGACAAGCATATATTTTTTTTTTTATTAAGAGCAAACTACTGATTCAATTTCGATAAAATTTAAATGGGACCACCTTGGCTCTTTAAGCTATCGAATAAAAAAAATAATTTTGTAAATCGATTAATATAGTTGGTGGTAGAGTCGTATCATAGACACACAAAAAATCAGTCTACAATACTCGAATTTAGAAGCACCTTCTTTTTGAAGTTATTTAAATTAGAGGTAACAGGTTACAGGGAAATTACTACATATATATTAGTGATACAAAGAGAAGATTATTTTGTTATTACTTACTCACGGTGTAATGCTTATTAATACATCACTTACGAGGAAAAAATGCAAAGTCACCGAGTCTTCCTGTTTCTGCAATGCGCCAAGCAAATTGTAAACAAACGCTTATATTTATATTCTAAATCTATACACATTTAGAATATAAATAAAAGCAATTTTGTTTATTTGCTCTACATATTTTTTCTAATAATGCTATATTCAAATTATAAAGAAGAAAAAGTTTGATCGCTTGTTTGTTTGCATTGTATAGCTCGAAATTGCCAAATGATTGAACCGATTTTTATAAGTTTTTAATCTACGGGACACAGGCAAAGTCGCACGGAAACAACAAGTTTGAATAGAAATAGGTTCACATTTCAAGAGGAAATCGATGAACATAACTACTTTCATAAAAAATGTACATGAACATAAATAATTCTCCATTCGCATTTTGAATTGAAATTCAAAATACGTATTTTGTTTTTTTAATTGAAATAAATATATTATAATCATATAAATATCGAGGTGATAGCTGGTGATTTTCGTATTGTTATAAAAGGAAAACTACTGATTCTATTTGGATAAAATTATAAATAGGACCACGTCGGCCCATTAAACTGTCAAATAAAAAAAAAATGAAAATCGGTCAACAATTTGGCGGATATATCGGTGAACGTACACAACAACATCGCTGTCGAATATTATGTAACTTCCTCCTTTTGGAATTTTGAAGAAGGTTAAAATTCGTGGTGTTTCGTAAAATAAAAAAAGCGATAAAAAATATTATTTATTTTTATATTTAAAACAAAGTTATAACAAAATCATATCATCAAACAAAGCAACAATATTTGCCCATACGTATAGATAATCCTTTGTTAGATTACTAAGGACATGAGTCCTAGTCCTAATCTTGCAAAACACTATCTGTGGTGTGTTAGTTTTAGATTTAATAATTATTTTTTTGGAAATTTTATATAATTTTACAAAATGCTAAAGTTTACAAAATTTGTAGTTTAAAATTATTTGGTGTTGTTTTAATATATAGGCTTATAAACTGCCTCGAAAAGTTTACTTTTAAAGTTAGAAAAAGAAAACCATATAATTGCAATTACTAAATTATAAAATGCAAATTGAGTTAGTGAAATAGGTAAATATTAAAGTTCGTGTTCGTATTGAGCGATTAAGCCGAAGTAAAAAAAAGACCAATCACAGAAAATACAGATCCGATGGATTAAACATCAATAATTTAGTCCTTTCTATAAAATGTTCATTCCATCACATTCTTCCATTACTTCCCAGTATGAAGGTGGTGGTGATGCAGGGTCTGATTTATTTATTTCATCATTTTCCAAATTTACTGACATTTTGCCGATTTGTATTGGAATGAGGAGCTTCATATTTATATGAGGCATAGGAAGATGCACTAATATGATCACGCCGTATTCTCTAGATACTAATTTAGAGTTTTCTATATGATACAAATCAGATGGTATATCAATTTCAATTTGAGATTCTTTTGTGACACCTTTTTCTATTGCGACAGATTTGCAATCTGCGCTTATGACATCTTCGACTTTTGATCCGTTATAAAATTTGTAAAGGGCCACTAATTTAGATTCCACAGCTTTAATAGTTTTCTTAGAATCATTAACTAATTCATAAGAGACTTGCACTTTGTCACCTGGCTCGAGGACTGAATTTGTTATGCAAGCTTTTATCATAATGCTATTATCACTTTTGAAAAGTTGGAATAAATCTTTTTTTTTTCCATATATAATAGGTTCCATTGATAGTCTCGGTGTTGAAACAGGCACGACTTTTATTTCCTTTTTGAATATTTTATTAAACTTTAGAAAACCTTCAACTTCAAATTCAATTTCAATGTTGTACATAATTTCACATTTTATTCCAATTTCCTTGAGATATTTTAAAGAACCTGGGATGTTTTCTGGCAATCTAAAATTGAATGGAGTTTTGTAATGTTGATTTACGAATTGTTCTTTTCCATATTCATTTAAAACTGAAGTTTGTATGTCCACGTACTTTTCTGTCGTTGTTGTTGTTGACTCCTTGCCATCACGATGTTCACTAGTCTCTAAATAGCCACTTCCTTTTAATGATAATTGTATTCTTTTAACAACAGTATTGCTATCAAAACTGTAGTCGATAGTTCCAGTGACGAAATTTCCCGGAATGAACACATTGTTCGGAGGATTTACTACACAAATTTTACAGAATATTCCCATTATGTTCAGTATTATGCTATAACTTTGTATATTCCTTTTTAGACTTATGAAAAATCAGTCTCTACCAGTAAAACAATATACGTAGGGTATGTGCACCAACTTATAACAAACTGATCACTGAAAGGTATTACGCATACACTAAACAGAGGTAGCATGTATAGGTCTTTAATAAAGCACTAATCTTATCTTTTATGATAACGCTTTCATTTTATACTAACGATATCTTTGGGTTCATTTTGCGTCATCGATTATCATAGACACATGGCAGGTGTCCAGCCAAGTTAAGGGAAAAGTAACTGGCTAATTTGTTTTATTTATCTAAAAATAATAACTTAAATCTCTACAAATCAAATCAAATGTACCTAAGAAACATACGGTCAATTAATTTAAATTGAAATAGCTATATTTAACAGAAGAATGCGTGTCCCACAGTTGTATCTAGCTATATCTAGCTACATCGATCTCTTTCTTATCTTCCTAAAAAGAAAAAAGGAACCGACGCTGATTTTCGGCAAGACATCGATCAACACTGTCACAAAAAAATTACGCACAAATTTAAATATTTTCAATAAATGTTTTCTTTGTATTAACCGTGCTTTGCACCACTGTTCGCGTTTTCTACGCTTAAATTTTCTTTTCCTTAATAAAACAAACAATAAGCCTTTTAACGCTACTGATGTGTGATCAAGCGCTGTTGCCGAAGTCTTGGTTTCAACTGAGAATTAGACAAGGTTTACCGCTGTACTGTAGAATTAGTCAAGGTTGTGCCTGTATTGTATCTACGCAATTCAAGTTTTTAATTAAAATATCACCATGACAACCATTATTTACTTTTTGATTTGTCATTGTATGTTTGTTGTTATAAATTGTTTCTCACAGTGACGACAATTCTTATATGAGTACATAGCATGTAACAAAAATTTCATTTTTAAATAAATATTTACTTTTAACTTGACATAAATTACAGAAACTTTTTAAAAATGTTCGAGTAAAAGTCATGTTCTGCGTAGACCTTCCCAGTGGCTCCATGTTCAAGGTATTCAATCATTACCAACCCCTGGCAGTCCCAAAAAACTGAACCCATGATCTTGCCGGCGGATGGTTGACATTTGAATTTCTTTGGTGTAGGAGATGTCGGTCTTTTCCAGGACATTGATTGTTTTTTCGTTTCTGGATCATAATGATGAAGCCATGTTACATCCATTGTTAGGAATCGAGCCAAAAAAAGACCAGAATCACGTTGAAACAGTTCCAATGAGCTCTTTGAAATATTGAGACGCGTTTGCTTTTGTGCGTACGTTAGCATTCTCGGGACCCAACACGCGGATACATTTCTCATTCCTAAGTGATCTTGCAAAATACTATGCACACTACCACTTGAAATCTTCAACTCTTCAGTTATAAAACGGACAATTACACGGCGATTATCCAGAACAATTTTTTCAACTTTCTCGACCATATCCTGCGTGACTGACGTTCTACCACGTTTAAACTCTGCACACCACCGAGCCACTGTGGAATAAGAAGGAGCAGATTCCCCCAATATCTCACATAAATCTTTAAAAATTTGTTCCGTGGTAAAATTTTTCAAGCAAAAGTATTTTATTACTGCACGGATGAAAAGTATTTTATTACTCAATTTTATCCATTTTTGCGAGAGTTAACGACGCGTCAAAAACAAATAATTAATAAAACTGACACAGACAAGATAGAAACCTATTTATTAGGTATTATAACAAAGACCTAATCTTTCAGTGACCATAATTTCTTTTTGATACTTGGGAAAAGAAAACAATTTGACATTATTTGATCTCTGTGGCCTGATCGGGGCAGCAAAATTTACCTTACATAATAAGTTTGGACAGTCAACGATACCACAAAGCAAGTTTTTCAAAAATATCAAGTCCAACATTTGTCTACGCATATCCAGTGAGATAAAATTAAAGTAATCTAAGCGCTCTCTATATGACGGTGACCAAACCACGCTACAATATTCCAAGTGACTCCTTACAAGTGAGCTATAGATTGCTATTTTTACATGTGGCTTCTTGAAATTTTTACATTCTCTTAAAACAAAACCAAGAGCCTTCGAGGCCTTCGAAACAATTGTATAAATATGTCTATCAAACTTTAAGCTACTGTCAAAGAAAACCCCCAAATCCCTGATACAATCCAATTCATCTAATCTTTTATCATTTATGATATAGTACGTGTCCAAACAATTTAAATTTCGCGTAAATTTGATGTGTTTACATTTAATTCCATTTCATTATTAATACACCAAGTAGATAGTCTATCTAAGTCATCTTGTAAGAATCTTGAATCTAATAGTGCTTTAACATCCCGTGTAACTTTTAGATCGTCAGCAAATAAATATATCTTGGAATGTTAAAAACAGCTATTTATATCATCAATAAATAATGAGAAAAGGCATGGACCTAAATGGGAACCTTGCGGGATTCTAGAAGATACTACATACGATCCAGAACTAAAACCATTGACAACTACATAAAGCTCACGTCCAGACAAGTACGATCGAAACCAACTCAATAGAGGCTCAGATACACCATATATTTTTAGTTTGTCAATCAATATACAACGATTCACCGTGTCGAAAGCCTTGCTAAAGTCAGTGTAGACAGCGGCTACCTGTACTTTATTATCAACAAGCTCAACTAGATCCTCAACATATGTCACCAAATTGGCCGCAGTTGATCTCCCCTTCACAAAGCCATACTGATTAAAAGATAAAAAAGGAACCATATGCCACGATAATGTTGGATATATAACTGCCTCAAGTCTTTGAGGTTGAGGTCTTAGCTAAAGCAGACAATATCGCTATTGGTCGGTAATTAGTTACTAAAGCCTTACTGTCACTTTTGTGCACCGGAACAATTTTAGTTTTTTTCCACACAGATGGAAATATTCCATCATTCAATGATTTGTTGAATATTAAAGTAACGGGTATGCATAGATATTTTGCATTTCTAATAAGGAAAATGGGGGCTATATTATCAGGCCCTGGGCCTTTGTTCGAGTCAAGACCCTTTAAAGTGTCAAATACCTGCTTCTCAGCTATATGAACTGAATTTAAAGTTCTACTGCTTATAATCTGTTCATAGTTTGTAGTATTAATTTTATTTGAAGATCCAACATAAACAGATGCAAAATGCGAAGCAAAATATTCACATATTAACTCACCCTGCCTTGAACTTGAAACTCCATCAGACATTACTTCCGGATAATTACTCTTACCACCTCTTTTTAATTTCAAGTAGTTCCAAAAATATTTAGGATTAGATACTATGTTACTTTCTATGGTAGACAAATAATATTTATAGCAGTTGACTATCAATTTTTGACATCTCTTTTAAATAGAACTTAAAGCTTTGTTATACTAGATAACGTTTAGTGTGTTCTAAACTGCGCTATTGTTTGATTCAAAGAATTTGCATAGATTCCAGTTTTCGCTGTTTTTTATTACCTTCAGAGTTTACATTTGTGTTTTACTTTCATCTATATTTCAAATAGGGTGAATTGGATAAATACAGCATTTTATTTTGTTATTAGCTTTCAGATCGCGCTTCGCCCGCGTGGAATTTGGTTGTTATCGGACTTCGTACTTACATCCCATACTTCAACCCCTTTAAGCCTATTTTTAGCAATAAAACTATCCTATGTCCTTTCCCAATGTCCACTTTGTGTACGAAATTTCATTTAAATTCATTCAATGGATATCATAACCTAACAGATGATTGACATGTACTGTTATATGCAATATCCAACTTTATTGCCATAACATAAGATTGTTATTTACATTTTGCTATATGAGATATATTTTAGTATTATTACCACTAAATTATTAGTGGAATATGTATACATGTACCTAAACATGGATGGCCTTGAGAGATTTGTGTCTAAGCCAACATCATAAACTAAAATACATTCATAAAACCCATAAATTAATTATGGCGGTATCGTAAGTGATCCGTTAATATACCCACATAGTTAAGTTAGTACTACTGTGAATATTTATGAAATCATATAGATATCTTTTCACGTTAGGAAAAAAGATAATGAAAATCATCATACTCAGTCGAATTGTCTTTATTCAATTGTTAAAAATCTCGATTTACCCATTTTTTACCACCGTTGACGTTCAGGGCTCGCTCTTTTAAAATTTATAATCTACGAGTACATAAACCTTAGACTGTTCTTTCATAAAGGAGAATGTGTTTTTTTGGTACTTTATTCTGAAAAATCTAACCACTATAAAGAAAATTATCATATCACCAAGACCCAATCCTCTAACTTTCATCAAAATTTCGGGCCTGAATTAAGACCCGTTTTAGAGAATTAATTTAAAATAATTGGTATTGTTTTCCTAGAAACACTAGTGTAAACAGCCATAAAACAAATTTAAAAAAGAAAACGCCTAAAATAAAAAAAAACATCCAAAGGGATCTTTGTCTACTGATTTAAAAAATATGTATATTATCAGCTATATGTCAATTGTTTTTTCGGTGAAATGAAAATATGGAAAACAAAAATGTGGCAAAACGTTTTCGGTTTAATGAAATTCGCACTGAAAAAATTCGATATTAAAATAGGTAACCACTTTGGGGTTATTACGAAAGCGGGGAAATTTAGATAATATTTTAATATTAAACAAAAATAAAAGCTTGTTTAATAGTCAACTTTACCGACAAAAATGCCGAATTTGTTTTTAATTCGTCACTTTTAGGATTTGTATGTTTTGGATATTACCTAAAGCTCCTTATTTTAACTTAGTGTCCTTAGTGGACGAATCATATAATAATATTGTGAAAATCGAACTAATTATTCGTTAACTATTTATTTATTATAATAAGCTACGCACCGTATAGACTCAAATCGGGCCAAATCTGAATCGACGAGCTTCCATTTCAATTCCATTCCATTCCGGTTTAAAATATCTCTGTATTTGACATTTAGATGTCTAAAATATAAATAATTAATAGCAAATAAAAATAACGATTCCACATTGTCCAAATAGATAAATTCACAGCATGAATTGGAACATAACTTAGGGATGGGGTTGCCATAGATTTTCTTAATGCACTTATGTGTTGCTACATAAATTATAAAATACCACCAAATGATGTTCAAATCAGAAAATAAACATTTTGGCACTTTCCGTTGTTGTTTTTTTCTGTGTTAACATCACGCCTATTTGGTAACCATTGTAAATGGGATGGGCAATAAAATTCTTACTTACTACTTACTTACACTCCGTTTTGGGCAGTCGTGTAAAAATGAGCTATTATACAAGGCAATAAAAAACCTTACCTTTCTATCAAATCCTTCTTTTTAAATCTACTACCTGAAATTAAATTTTTATTGGTTGGCTGTCTATCACTTATTCTAAAAAAAAACAATATTATTTGAGAGACTCATCTCCTATCTGGAGCATAGTCGAACACTGCGACTCCTTCCATTTCCTCTTATGCTTTTAACCAGTCCTATTCATATGTTTTATTATTTCCATCCAATATTTTTAGATACCTACCCAAATAGATTCACCCAAAAATACTAGATACTATATCACCTGTAAGTATAGGTCATAAACTATGAGCTGGTCATCTACATTTATAATAATGTTGCATTTTCATCAACTTAAACATATGTACCAAACTGAAGACAAACAGTCTAGTAGTTCGGAGCAAATATGCTTTGATAGAGGATGTATCTGAATATTTCAAGTATGGAACTTTAAAAAAATTAAATGTTTTAATTTCTTTTCATTGTCCAAAGTGTGAAGTAAAGGGTTTATGAGAATGTTCCAATCACGTTCTACTTAGTTGAAAACTATGTAGATAGTGACATAAGGCTGTTTATTACTTCCAAAAGTTTAATGATCACTTAGAAACGTTTTACTGGCTAAGTTTAGGGCATAATAGTGATAGTTTTGTATTTCACGAGGTTTGTGTCTTTTGCCAGCTGCAAAAGATGGCAGCACTCGTTTTGTTACCCTAAGTTAACTATAACAATTCAAAATAATCATGCAAAATAAAGATCAAAGTATAAGTCAGTGAAATACATAGAAAAATAATCAAAAGTAAATAAAATACATCTTATATCATATAGCAAAACGTATAATTAAATGATGGTATTTTAATTTTAATCACGGAAGTAGTCTCTTACAATATAAATTTTAACAATATAAACGGTCTACACTGTTACAATGGGGACACGAATATATCAAACTTTCATACCAAATATTCAGTCTCATATTAATTAAAGCAAATAACAAAATTTACATGTTACTTCGAAACAATAGTGACAAACAAAAATAGTTCAAAAACCATAACAATGATTCATTAAGTACAGTCCATATTTCTATCATCAAAGAAAACTGTATTGGTCCTATCGCAAATTATTTTATTCAGTCTTATTTAAATAAGATTACAAATTCAAAAAAAGAATCTGCTCTTTTGTTATTATGAAATAAAATTATTTGCTCTTACTGGCCATGTTTGAGGTCGCTGTCTTAACGCATTGTATTGCATCATGTTTAAATACCAAAAAGGCTTGTTATCTGTTGGTAGACTTTCTATCTTATTAATAAGTCTTCTATCTCCTTTAGTTTCAATAGGAACTGGTAAATCTTCACCGAATCTGTTGGATAGTTGGTTTGTATTGGCAGTTTCTAGTGCGGGATATCCAATTGGTCGTGTGCCAGCGAAGGAAGGTCTCTGTGAGTGTACGATTGTTGCAATTATCAATACAACTAAAATAATTCTGTACACAGCCATTGTATCTGCAAAACAAAAGAAAATACATTAAAAATTAAAAAAAAACTGAATATATCCCTTATTTGTAAAATCTTTCTTACTTTTAAATGAATTAACACTAATTTATAAGACCAGCTTTTATCACACGATTTTGCCTGCGTGAATTATAGCTTATGTCATCCGCATATGAGGCAGCTTTCCGTAGCATTTTTTTTAAATCAATGAAAACAACGATATTAGTATAGAATTTGAAGTAGGAAGTATAATTTCAAGATTTTTTATAGTGATGCATTAATAATAAGTGCGTCCAAATAGTTGATTGATAACACTTAAAATATAATTTTTAACACAGAAATATTATATTGGGAATTTAGCAATGATAATAGAATATTATTTAACAATTTATAAACACTACAATTGAAAATTATACGAAACAGAATATTTACCTGAGTTTTGTAATCGACTAGTTGTTTAAAAGTTATTATACTAGTACACGATGTTCCGCTCTTGAGAACTGAGTACTGCTCGAAGTAGAGAATGGTATTTATGTGAATAGAAGCAATGTGCCATAGATATCCTAACCTATAGACATGGTCTATAGAAAGAAAAAAAAACTAAACCTGTAACTAAAGAAATCTATCTCTACGTATTTTTTATTTTTAGGTAGTATATTTTTAGGTATCGTTTATAATCGATAATAAAGACTAATAATTAATTTCTCGTAAAAATAAATTTATTAAGACTGCAAACGATTGTTTTTTTAAAGATAACTAAACAGATACTACTCGGATAATTGATTAATGTAGTTACAAAGATAATAATTCTATTATTCTTAAAGTTTGTATAGGTGTTAATATATTTGCTCGGTTGTGTATTTTAAATAAGTCAACTCTATTTAACTTTATGTCTATGCGCGTAAAAACCAGAGTCATTTCATTTCGTCATCCGGGGACACCGCGTAGCGTCACCACGACGGACGAGACGACGATGTGACGTCATGAATGTAAATAACCAACAATTTGAGACATATATTCTGAATGACAATGCACACGCGAACGGGTCTTATAACTTTTGTCATTATAATAAATTACACTTAGAATCATCTATGAGAATCATGAATGATGTTGGGTTTTGCTTTTCAATGTTTTGGTCCCGTTTCTTCGAATGTTACGTTATGAATAATAACGGTATGCTAAATTTAGAACATTTTTTGAAGGAGCGTGTGGTTTGACATTTATAGAAACCTGATCAATATTGTCACCGAATACGAAAGAGTTATTCAAAGATCTCATATATTTTTTTATGAATAAACAAATAATAGAAGCTTTTAAAATAATTGCTCAATTTGTTCCAGAAACATCCTTTCAAACCGTCCCACGCCGTGATCTCGATAACTACGCAATATCAGATCTAATATTAGATATAATAAGCGTGATATCTACAGGTATACTGTATCCTTAGATATTGAATGTAAATCTTGTTATTGTGAATCCGGTTGGTTATTTACGAACGTTTATTATGTTTGTTGCCTGCATAAAGCGGAAAAGGAGATCAGAGGAAATCATGGCACCAGTCATTAAGATAAATAGAGATAGACATAGTGCATTGTTCAAAACAAGACATAAATTTTTTACTAATCGTCTGGCCATTCGCTCGACATATGTTCATCTCCTTGGCCGAATGTAGAGCAATGGGCAGAATAGTCCAGGTTTGTTCGGATCGGGTCAGCCTACTCGAATGGGCTACGTCCTCTTGGTCTTCTACCATTAACCTTTCTGGTAACCATGACTCGAATTTGCTCCCTTCTTTTCTAACGATGTGTCCAAAGAATTCAAGCAGTTTTTAAAGGGAGATAGAAGAGAGTACCAGAACTTATTTCGTATAATTGTAAAATCACTTGTATATAAGGCACATACTGATACACGGTTTTTGAACAATTTACGTTATGTTCAAGAATATATTTACAGGAAGAACCCGAATGTCTTTGAATTTAAAATGGTTCTTGGTAGTATTCCATTTTAGTCATTTCTTTCATTAAATCGCGTTATTAAATATGAGAACATGATTTTTGTTTGCTATTGGAGTAAAGTATATAACATCATAAAATAAATTAATTACATATATTGCTGAGATTCCAAGATGAGTAGCTAAAGCCGATATTATTGAGCATCTGAGACAACGAAGGTAATAAAATACCCAGACCCGAGACAATATAGAAAAGTTTTTTTTTGTTCATTGACCCGTCCGGGAATCGAACCCAGGACCTCAGAGATGGCGACACTTTGAAACCGGCGTGCGAACCACTCGGCTGCGGAGGTCGTCGATCATGTTTATTGATAACAGCTAGGAGATAATTATCGTTTGACCTAAAAAAAATATATCTCAAATTACTTATAATGAGAATTAAATGAGCATAGGTCAGTAGAATATGCAAAAATATCGTTTACAGTATGTATCAAGGCCACAACCCAGCTAAAAGAAGGTTAGTACTTAAAGTTAACTTTGCTTCGATTTAGTTCAATTAGTTTAAGCTAATTAAGATGAAGTCGGCTTTAATTTGTTTTTTCCTACTTTGCACAGATAAATAGCAATTTATTTAAACTTATAATTTAATTTGTCTACCTTAACTAGGGATCAATATCCCTTAGCTAGGGATCAATATCCGGTTCCAATGAACCGCAGTTCTATTAATATATTCCAGATCTTAATGTTTTTTATGGGAACTAGAATTTCTGTTACGCAGTTACTTAGGTAAGTAAAAAAAACTCTCTTCTACAATCTTCTATAACCATTTTCAGTGCAGAACTTATTTCGGCCATCTAAGGAAGACCTGAGCCCCTGCAGTGGGGACGTAAAAAGGCTGATGATGATGATGGTGATGATGACTTATCTCGTATGAGTCACTATCGTCACACGTCTGTAAGGGGATCGTCTTAACAATGAATTCTGACTATTTTGATAAGTGGGAACGGTATTCGTAATTTTTCGGATTTGCTACTACCTGTTTTAAAAAGTTATCCACTATCAACCGACAGTTGTCCGTTCAAGTAGTCAAGTTATACCAATATTTCTTTTAATTTACTCCTGGTAGAATTGATAAGTTTTTCATGGTCAAGTAACTTATATTGCGTCAAAGTATTGCAAGATAAATAACTCCCATTCCGTTATTTCACACACGTAGACTTATTGACCGAGTGATACCGGTGATAAACCGTGAGGTTTCCCCCAATTCCTCGTCAACTCTGCACACTATTAATGCTGATGATATAAATAACATGCGATTTCATCATTTTTTTATAAACCCCAGCAGACTAACACGAGCTATGAATTGTGATGTAATATTTACAGGTACCTAAAGCTCTTTAGTACTTTAATTTCAAATAACTAATTTATCAAGATTAATTTTTCCAAACAATTTATACCAGTAATAATCATAGGCAAATAAAGTGAAATACTGTTAGGTGGGCGATGAATAGTAAACTGAGAATAAGGGCGGAACCTTATCAAAAGGGTTCCAATTCAATGTTTATAATTGATAAGTGATTAATTTCAATGGCATATACTAGAAAGTGAATATTCAAATATCAATCCAGGGAGCGTGTATTAAAAGTGTAATGAATAACGAGAAACGTGTGTAAACGCTGTGACGTTCTTTCTCTGTTTACCCCAGAAAAAAACAGTGTAATGATGAAATAAAAAACAGACTAGTTATAACTACTATTTATTATATTTAATTGCATTAAGGTTGTTCAACTTTGTCTTCATCTATTGACTTATAAAAATGGTCAAGCTCAGATTAATCTTTATAATAAATATTTGGGGAACAATAAAATTAAGAAATACGCGTAAATATTTCTGCCACTTGTGGGGAAGAAAATATAAATAAATTATTCCATTACTTTTTCACATAATCGTTGTAGGTACAAATACTGTGTCTAGGACTTCTCCGAAACGATAGCATACAATGATTACAAATATGCACATTGTTAAATGTGAAATTCTGCTTATCTCTAACTTTATACTATGTGTATTTATCAGAATTAACAAATATACTATTACAGTCATATAACTACAACTTATATGAGTTTTTCAGAGTTCCGTACCCAAAAGAATCCTATATTCAAATGTAAATATTTCTATTGTTCATTTGTCTTCACGGGGCTGAGGGACAGAAACGACGACTGTGGCCAATTTTAGTTACGTTAATATTATATTTCTACATTTTTTTAAAAATAAGTATGGTCATAGATTCCTATTCTTTTTTAAGATTTTTTTTTGTGTTCTATATGTGTAATATATTTATGTCGAAATTGTCAGAGACAACACGTTCTAATTGAACATCACAAACAAAACTAGCTGACTAATAGAACGAGATATCTGTTGGATATACCATCTGTTCTCAAATACGAAGGCCGCAAACAATATCCGTTTAATATCGCAGTGGTCACCAGCCTTGTTGCCTTGAGATTGCCGCTCAAACAATGACATTTGCATAGTTTTTATATAACCTTTCCCGCAATCTATATTTAAAAACTGCCTGTTCTGGTTTCGTACAAATATCATTTACATGGACAGCGATAAATCAAAATTAAACCTAATGTTCATTAAATTAATAATGAAAATTGATTACTTGATTAAGTCAACAAACCTATTTAACCTCAATGCTCAATATCGATATGATTTTCTCCAACATCATCATACAAAATTAGAAATTACTTCTTCCTCAGATTATAAGCTATGTGTATGTGTAGTACATTCGTTGTACAGTTTTACAGTCAGACCCGAAAAAATGCAGGTATTATTTTTCGATACAACCAAAGCCATCTATGTAAGTACTAGAAGCCTTTGTAAAGAATGCTGCGAAATAATTTTGTGAAATAATTACCTAGCTTAGATAATATTGCACACGGTGACTTAACCCTAGAAGCGCCACTGTGCCTTTTTGTCCCATAAGCAAGTTTAATTGTAGGTAACATTTTTATTTGTTAATTTATGTCGATGAAACTTTTTGCCTTTTAAATAGTTTTATACATTTATATAATTTAAAATATGTTGTTATACTTTTGGAAAAATATACGTTTAATCTATAACTGCCGCCGGTTAATTTTTGTCTCATTTTTATTTTAAGATATAATTCGACATACAATCGTTGCTCCGGAAAGATACGGGACATACATGTAGCTGTCAGTAGGTCACACAGAATGTTATTACGTTGGCATTGTGCGTAAAGAGCGTACGTCGCTGTTTTCTAAACGATTAGGTAAATAGTCAAACTCAAAAAATAATGAAACCGCATGATGTTGTGCCTTTTTAAATATTTTTTTTAAGATTACTCACATGGCCAACCTTTGGAACACTGCAGTTTTTTAT